AATAACTAGCCAGAGGTTCGGTGTGCTCAGTTTCAATCAATTGGTTTTTCAGATCTTATATTCTACTGTATTGGAGTTGGTGTGAGTTCTATTATATGTTTCATTTAGGATACAATTTGGTTTGGTATCCATATTAATGACTGTTGTTGGTGAGCATACCAACTCTCTCCTGTTTAATTCTAAATGTGTTTCTTTGTCTTCGTTTGTTAATCCAAAATAGTACAAGCACTTTATTACTTACGAATTACGATTACTTGTGAAAATTTAATATGTTTTCATGTATTCTTTTGCATATTTCATGGCATATTCATACACTGCTTTCATTTTAAGTTGAAGTTTTATTTTTCTACTGTATTCATTCTGCACAATATAGCGCTTAAGTCTTTTGACATTTCATTAGGTCCTTCATCAATGCTTATTGCAATCTATTCATATGCCAGTTTACTTTTCCATATAGCATTTATTAAAGCTATCTAACTACCATAGGTGCTTACTTTCTATTTATCTCTTTAAACTCTTTTGTATTTCTTTATTTTGTATTCCAAATTTTATTTGCGACTTCTAGTACATTCTGTTTTGTATTCTATTCTATATTCGAAGATACAGCAAGAAGACCCACTGAAATAGACAATCCCTATGTCTCAGAAATAACAAACGAAGAAGTAACTATGGCCATTAAGCAAATTAAAGATGGGAAATCACCAGGACCTGATGAAGTGCATAGTGAAATTTTAAAGCTATTAGAGGAACACTAAATGTCTGGCTACTATGAATATTCATTCCACTTCCCAAAAAAGCCAACACTAGGAAATGTGAAAAACAGATTAATTAGTTTGATAAGTCATGTACTTGAAGTATCCCTTACTATCATTTATTCACGCATATACACTAAATTAGAAGAAAACCTAAGTGAAGTTCAATTTGGATTCAGAGAGCTAGGGATGTTTATGCATGTTTCATTGATTTCAAGAAGCCATTTGACAAAGTATCACATGGGACACTAATCAATATCATATAAACATCAGGACTCGATGGTAAGGATATAAGACTAATCATAAACTTATATCTGCAACAAAAAGCAGCAGCGTGATTCAAATATTCAAAAAAAAAAACTGTCGTGAGATTTTCACAGTCCGTAAAGGAGTTCCACAGGGTTGCATACTGCCACCAGCATTGAGTAACATATACTCTGAAAACATTTGCAGAGAAGCCTTGGACGCATCGTAAGATAGTATTACAGTAAATGGTTAAGTTATAAATAATTTTAGATATGAAGACAATACCCTATTAATTGCTGGCAGATAGTGCTCAGGAGCTTCAAACAATGATAGATAATCTCGTAGAAATATCTTACTGTATGGCTTTAAACTAAATTGTAAAAAGACAAAAATAATAATCAAAATTTGGAACATGATGATCAGAGGACAAAGAAAAGAGATGAACATGGGCAGATTACTTTCATTCAATGCCTGTTTGCTAAAGGTGAAGATAATGAACCACCAACACCATAAATGATGACAAACGAATAAATAAATATTGAGGAGAAAGAGGTAAAAGAAGCATTAAGGAAATTAAAAAATAGAAATTCACCAGGAGGAATTAATTTATTAAACACAACACTAAAACTAAAAGTGATAACAAATAAACTGAATGAAATTATAACACTAGCAGAAGAACAACAAGGTTTTAGGTCGAGAAGATCATGCACTGACAATATATTTATAATGAGGCAAATGCAAGAGAAATCATTAGAATACAACAAACCGGCATATCTATGTTTCGACTTTAAGAAGGCATTTAACAGGGTCAAATTAAAGTATGTTGAATTACTTTACTTTTATTTCGAATATTTCACAGTTTCACCCCTTTGAGTAAACAAGTAACGTTATCAATGACATTACAGTACAAATGATGGTTGATTCACTTTTATAACGAAATTTATGACTAAATCGAATACCACTAAGCAAAATGATTCAAAATATGGGGTTACACCGCTATCAGAATTAAAAACCCACATTTAAGATTCATGTAATCTGTAATTTTTTAAAGACAAATAAAAGAATGAACCCTATTCACTGAACCATAAGTTAGAACAGGAAATGTAAAAGTTTTCAATTTGTGAGCTGGTCCATCACTAATGAATATTTTACATAAGTATATTCTTACCAGAACTCATTATCTTAAAACAAATTTAAATTCATATATCAGTGTTAAACCAAACAGACCCGATAATGATCTGCTCGTATTTGGTTTCGATAACGGTGTTACAAAATGTTTCTAAACTTTTAATTTAATTAGCATCTTTTATACATTTTGGATGTCTAGTGTATAAAAAACAATGCATAAGACTAATTAGTCCTATAGTAATCTATGAATGCCGTTATGAATACATAAGCAGACAAGATTACTCGCTAAATGTAAAGAAGCAATGCAGACAGCGGCTAAAGGCGGTTTAAAATATACTAACGATATTTTTAGAAGAATTAGAAAAGAAAAGAAGAAGAAGAAATTACGATATTTTTAGAAGAAAAGAGAACTGCTGCGATGAGGAGTGTATGAGTACTGAAAAAAAAAAAACATTTTTATGAAAATTGAGTATATTTTCGAGGAAGATATTCTTCAAATTGATCCAAATGATTTTTGCAGTCTTGGTTGGCCAAACTCGTTTGAGCTGCACAAGATATATTTTCTAATTTTTGTAAAGCCACATGGATGTTTGAATTATGCAATCGCTCACTTACAGGTGTTTTATTTTTATTCGTTGTACTGCTATTGATGCCTGAATGATGAAGTGTGTACAACCTTTCTCTTTTTACCGCTAATTGTACACTGAGAAGAATGGTGAGAAAAGGCTGTTGCTCCTACATTTCTGTTAAATGTTGATGTTAAAGGGTTATTCGGCCAGTTGTCCGATTGTTGTATATTTTCCTCCTTTTTCAGACTTACTTGTTCCTGGCTAAGAATGTCTTGCACCCCGGTGACTCTATAATATACTTATAGGATATAAAATCTTTTACTTTTGGCATCTGATTTTATACTGACTTTATAACTGATATTTATGTACTGATATTTAAAAAAATAGTATAGAAACAAACTACGCAAAAGAAATTATAAAAATAGCGCCGAAGGAATATTATGATTCAATACAAAAACCATCACAGGATATCCTCTGATAATTAAAATAAAAATAAAAAATATCAACTCGTTCTTACGTACGTAAAAATCTCAGAAAAAAGGAAACTTAAAAAAATATGGCAACAAAACATAACCCAGAGTAATAACAAATTCAATAAAGATGCAAGATTATTTAGAAAATTGATACAAACTTTTTGTAATCAATGTATAAAAAATCCTAAAAGTATCTGCGTCAATTAATAATGAACACTCACTCTGGAAAGCCACAAGACACCTAAAGAATCCTATAAAGACAATACCACCAAGCAGAGACATAGCAAGACAATGGGCAAAAATGCTGCAGAAAAAGCCAAAACATTTAAAGTTGCCCGATTTAAAGCCTCCTACAATATATGTTACTGCGACTCATTTGAACTACCAATAAATTATTTTTTCCACGATCTTACAAATAAATGTTAAAGAGCACATTACATATACAAAATTAATACACCCTTTTGAAATTATGGTTCCTATACACTGTTTTCAAATTTAATTTTTTTTCTTTCAGGAATCGCTTAGCAATCCCGAATCCACTTTTTCTCACAAACAACGTAGAGTTGAAATCGTCGGTTTCCACCCTACTGCAGATTTTTTGTTGCATTCCACATCTTTCACCACACTTACTCTGTGGGACTTAATGACTGAACAAGAGATATTTTCGAACTCAGACCCATCAGAAGTTATCCAATCAGTGAGCTGGAAGAGGGATGGTACTTTGCTGGCTACATCGGCAAAAGATAAACAAGTGAGTAAAATTTATTTTGAAAATATTGCTGTTGGACAATCGTCATGTAGAATCGCAAGTTTTGCCAAATATGATATATAATATTATATGAAATTGTCGAAAAAGTTGAACGAATATTGCTTGAAAATCATAGAGTTCCCACACCACAATTCATGTCCAGTGGCATGAGGCTTCTCTATGATAAGGCTCGCTGTCATGTCTCACATCAAACTGAACAACTGCTAAGTGATTTTGACTGGACTGTTGTGCCCCACTCTCTTACAGTCCGGACCTAGCACTAAGTGATTATCACTTATTCCTAAAATTAAAGGAATACTTGGGTGTCTTACGGTTCAGTACCGATGATCGAGTAAAGGAAGAGGTTACTCAATTCCTCAGTGGGTTGGATAGAAAAAAATTGTTTGAATAGAAGTGGCGATTTTGTAGAATAATAGTGTAAGTTTTAAGTTTTAAAATGATGTATAACACTAAGAATAAAAATAAAGCTGTATATTTTTAAAATTCATGGGAACCTTATTTCACCTTAAAATGGTTTCATAAACGCAATTTTTCAGGTTAGGATATTGGATCCTAGAGCGGAAAACTGCTGCGTGCAATCAGCAAATTCTCATCCAGGGATCAAAGATTCCAAGGTGGTCTGGCTTGGTGACCAAAACAAAATTCTCACCACAGGATTCGACGCTCAAAGACTACGCCAAGTGATTATCAGGGACCTACGAAATATTGTGGAACCAGAAAAGACTTTAGAGTTAGATTGTTCGACTGGAATACTCATTCCTCTCTACGACGCCGACACGGGAATGCTGTTTTTGGCAGGAAAAGGTAGATATTGTCATTTTTTCTACACTCTTCATTTCTGGAGTTCACACTTATCGTTAAGAACAGATAATACTATCATTAATTATTTAACAAGAACCGTTTTTCAGGTGATACCACCATCCTGTACATGGAGGTAACTGACAAGGATCCTCACCTTATCGAAGGTATCAGACATTCCGGAGAACAGACCAAGGGCGTGTGTTTAGTGCCAAAACGTGCTTTAAATATAATGCAAGGTGAAGTAAACCGAATTTTACAGTTGACCAGCTCTTCAGTGGTTCCTGTAACATACCAAGTGCCCAGAAAAACTTACAGGTAAGCTACAGAAAGTATAATAACATTCCTGTGTACAACAAAACTTTCTCTGTCGTTCAAAATATGCGTTTCAACAATTCTTGCACTTATTTATTGCCTTTCAGTGCACATTACGAACAAAATAAAATAATTGTCAAAAACTGATTACTATTAATTGAATTTGAAGAACTATGTTATGCAAGTAGTGATCTTGCAGTGGGATCTTTTACTAATAGTTTTTGCATCACATATTATTATTTTTTATACTACTGCTTAATTTTTAGGGATTTCCATGCCGACATATATCCAGACACTCCAGGTTATAAGACTGATTTGGTATCCTCAGACTGGTTTCAAGGTACCAACATTCCATTACAGAAAATGTCACTAGATCCAGCTAAGAGAGAACACGGGGAAGAACCCATAGTGGTTAGTATAATACATATATAACATAAAAAAGTAATCCAATACAAAAGAAATTACTTGACATATATTATGTAAAATAAAATAAAATAATCTTGTACAAACCCATGATATAAGGAAACAAGGTATGCTCACTAGGTGGACTCGTTTTTGCACATTTCTGCGCCGACCAAAATCCACCATCTTTTCAATATGTCCATTGCGTGTAGGGATGGTGACCTGATCCCGTACCAGTTACTTTGGAACATGTATTTTATTTATACTTGTGGAACTGATCCCTAACACCAATGTATTATAATAAACGAGTACGGGTCATGGATATTCTAAATTGAATTGTATAAAGATCGTTTTATGGCAAATTTGAACAAAAATAATTATATATATATATAATTATATATATATAAATATATATATATATAATATATATATATATATATATATATGATCCATGATATAAGGAAACAAAGCAGACGTCACGCATGTGACGTATTAAAAAAATGGTGGATTTTATGTATTCAAATAAAATATGTACTAAATTGATAAAAAAATATCGTAGTTAAATAAAATAAAATAAAATTAATATTATACATTAATCCAATTAACTATGGTGACTGAAATATAAGTAATAAGCAAATGTATCGTCGAAAATTGGATATTAAAAAAATTGTTAAATTTTTACAAGTAAAATTAATTGCGTTTCTAATTAATAATATTAATTTATACATACCTATTCGAAATTAACTATATATAAATACATACATCTAAAGAAAAAATTAAAAAATATTTATTTATTTAAAAATAAAAACTTCTTAAATTCGTTCATATAATAAAAAACACAACAAAACTATAATATTGATGCAAATTTTTATTCATAAAAAATAAAATTAACACGGAAAAAAAAACTTTAATTATCAACAATAAATTTATACAGTAATAAATAGCTCACAAGATATTTTTTTTTTTTAAGTATAAAACTTCATAGCTTTTTCCGACCTTCCAGATACTCTTATTTTATTGTTTGCTTCTTTTCTTTGCTTATTAATTTCACGTAATCTAATGTACGTTCTAGTTCTAACTAAACATAAAATCATATCAAAGGGAACTTTGTCAATTTTCACATTGACAAAGTTGATCCATGAAACTTATTAAAAAATTTTTCTAATATTTTTGCAGTATTAATTAAATCATCAGAAGGATGTATTAAATTTCCTATCGAAACAAGATCAACCCATTGCACAGGGACTTTTTTAGGAAGGTCTCGAGTTGGGGTACCATATTGAGGGTATTTAATACGAAATCGATGCGCAACATAACCAGCAACATATATTAATGCCTCCTCTTTCTTCCATTATTTCCTGTATAGATTTCATCTCAGTTAGCCCATCAAAATAATCTAGAAATAATATTATATTTATTCAAAAGAATTATTAGTACTTTTCGATACAAATGAGTAATTTACCTGGATCTTCAAGATCGTCTACATTATACATAAAATCTGTTATCTCTTCATCGTAGCAATCACCTAATATATCTTTTATTACTTCTATATTAACGTTTTCAACAACATCACTCAAAAAATTGTGACATTCGTCATTTTCTTTACTCAATGACGAATCTACTGCAGAAACTAAAGCTTCATTCTCATCATCTTCAGTATTGCAATTTTCGGAAAACATATCGTTACTATGTTTACCAAGTATATACCATCGAAGTCTGTATCTAAACTGCAAAGCTGAAGGTTTCATGTGTGCAGCTCCCATTCCTCGAATATATGAAAAAAAATTTTCAAGTACATCTTGGTTTAATCTATTTGTACAAAGATACGTAATAGAAACATCTTCAATATTGTAGTTTTCTTAAAGATATTCAAGTAATCCTTTTACAGAATTATTTGTTAAAATTACTCCTTTTTGAAAAGGAATTAAGGACTTATGGTTGCCTACTGTACAATCATTCATTAATTTGGTCATTTTATCAAATACATCATTTTGTTCATTTAAATTTGTACCGTAAGCTGATGTTAATGCCGTTTTGCCAAATTTTGATCTTGTATTTAAAACGTCAAACCAATCATTGCTTGTCTTTATGAAATCAGCGCATTCTTTCCATTTATCGTAATAACCACTACCATCTGAATCAAAGAAGAATTCGTTTTCACCACACCATCGAATGGACTCGCTTGTATTATTTGATAATACTATAGCAGCATATTTGATATTCTGCCTTTCACTTGCACGAACATCCAAATGCTTTTGTTCTAATTTATAAGTTACTTTCAAATCTTTACAATTATATTTTAACAATTGTTCTTTTATCTATAAAACTTCCGTCAGGTAGATGATATCCGTCATCAAGTAAATGATTCCTGATGAGTTTAAATAAATGTGAAGGGTCAGCAAAAACAAAAACTTTTAAATTCTTATCTTTAGGATGTTCAAAATAACATTTGTCATTTTGCCCAATACCGACACCAAAATATTTCCAAATACTTGAATTAGTGGATCCTTGGTCAGTTGTCACTCCAACTACATTGTAACCTGCATCGTATAGTTTACTAATAATTTCATTTACAGTTGTTTTTTGTAAGAGCTTTATCATAATCATAATAGATGACTTGCTTCCACTTATCAAAAATACCTCTCACCATTACTACCTGCCAAGAAATTTATAAGTAAATAGTAGTTTAGTAGTATTTTAAAATACATAAAACAAATTTTTAAGAAATAAAAATACTTCAAAGTGTCTTTAGAAAATAAAATATAAATTCCTACAAAACATTTTTTTTAGAAACTATTATGAACTAATTAGAACTCTTATAAAGTGCTTTAAAAAAGTCAGTTTTGGAACTGGAAATTGGAAAAAAATGTATAGAAGTTTATAAGAATTTATAAGTTTATAAAACGAGTAAATAACTTTTTTAAGGGAATACATAAATGGAATCTTTTTTTAAGGTAAACTATCCATTTCTGGGACGAGAGCAGGTTTCAAGTACTCTCATAAAGTCAAAACTAAAAAAATTGATTTCTAATTTGTAACGGAGGAAATATTAAAGTCGTAGTTTCGTGATAATTGCCCACATATATGTATATTAGAGTGACATTTATTTCCCAATTTTAAATTTTGTTCCTCCCAATTGATAAATCGATAGGTTACCCCAAAGATTTCCGCTATGAAACCGCCTAAAAACTGATATTTACTACTTTCGCTTGACAATTTTTGATTTTTCGATATTATTTTTTTGGCAGCTCTCTAGTGCACCAAAAATTCTGAAAAAAGTCTGAAAGATAACGATGTGCAAAAAGATGTGCAAAAACGAGTCCACGTAGTGAGCATACCTGACCTAATCCACAAAAATACTTGGATCAACCACCTCTACATGCGTGACGTCTGTTTTGTTTACGTCCAGTGTTTTGCATTTTTTAACCTTACTTTGCAATGTATTGGAATTTAAAAGTAAAATGTGTTTTTGTTTTGTTTTCGATTTTTTAAAAATTATTTTAGCAAGAGTCTGTTCAGATCATTTTAAATATGAATTAATTGGATTAATGTATAATATTAATTTTATTTTATTTAATTTAACTACGATATTTCGTATCAATTTTGTACATATTTGAATTGCCGCCTTCAAAATGGCGGATTTTGGTCGTAAACGCGATTGGCTGTTCAAAATAGATGCGCGTGAGCATACCATGTTTCCTTATATCATGTACAAACCTAAGTAATTATTATTGACATTTGACGTTTTATTTTGACATATTTGACAGTGACATTGACGTTTAAAGTCTTGTTGTTGAAGTATACATAGTATTACTTCAAAACACGCTTCTACATTCATACCTTTATTCATTTTGATTAGATTCATCGAGGAACTTTGCAAGAAATGCGAGAAGAGTACAAAAACAGAAAAATACATGCAAAACCCGAACCCAAGGCCAAGCCCGTGCCTGTGCAGAAAATCGAACAGCATCCAGTAAAAGGGATTATCAAAGACTTCGAAAAGGACAACAAGCAAATCGAAGAAGAAAAAAATAACATCAATATGAAAAGTACGGAAGACGATGGGGAGAAGGTGAGTAATTTTGTTTTTATTTGGTGTGTTAATGGGAATTTAGAGAAATTTTTCAAGTCAATATTATTAATAGAATTAAAATGCACAAAAACGTGTCTGTAACTTCCATCCTCAGAAAGATTTACTTTTCTGAGTATGGCAGGCTCCTAAATTTAGTCAATAGACAACAGTTTTAAGTTGAAAAATTTTCTTAGATTCCCTCTATAATCCCCCCCAAGCCTTTACCAAGGACATCCAGAACGAGCTCAATGTGCGATTCCCAACCCGCCGAAGATGCAAACAGTGCCCCCAAACCCGTTGCTAGACCCCGAACAAACAGTTGTGTCCCTGTCGTTACGTCTGTTAGTCCTGTTGCGCCTGTTTCAGGAGGATATAAGGTTATTAATGTGGTCTTTGATGTTTAGATGTCGCTTTTTTATTTTTTGTTTATTGTATCTTTTGCTTTTTTAGGTTTGTGCACTTAAGTTTGGGTTATGCACTTTTGAGTGATATTTTACGATTTATATGAGGCAGTTTTGTATCTATTGATAACGCAAATACGAAAGCTACACTCAAATACAATAAGAACGAAAGATACGACATATTAAACAAGATAAACCTTGGACTTTTTCAGAAATTTTATGGAAAAACCTTTTTATGGGAATCTTTGGTTCTTACCGATATATTATGCACTGTAGGTCAGAGAAAACAGACCACTCAAAAAATTATTAAATTATATACAGGAATCGCGAGATAAGCGAACATCTTTGATATTCTTCACAAAGTGATGTTTCCAAATGTTGGTTAGTGTCAACATTGTAAGTGTTCAACTGGTATAATCGAGGGGTCAATGCTGTTTCGTGTCCAAGGAGTTTCAGAGTCAAACTTGCTTTTGCGTCAAAAGTGACGGAAATTTGTTATAAACAAATTTAAATTAGTTGATATTTTCCAGACTTTCATTAAACACAGAAACTATTTTCTAGCTTTATGTTCTCGACATATGATAAGTAGAAAGGTAGCTACTTGTGCACATTTTGACCTTTGATCCGTTTGGCACGTTTAATTATTTTATTCCGCTTTGCGCACAACTCTCATAGTTATACGATTCTTTGCATTTGCTTTAAAGCGTACTTTATGGCAATAAACAATATATACTCCGCCAAAAAAGTATCGCATCATTTATAAAATTACAAATATTTCTGACAGCATTTGGTCAATTTAAAATTATTTCTTTCTGGCCCTTGAGAATATTAAGGCTAGAATAAATATTAAAAAGAAATTTGTAAATACAGCCTACTGTTTAAGAAAAAAATGTTAATTGCTATTTTGTCTGGTTTTTATATTCACAGTTTTTATTTTACTTTTGTAAAAAGTATACAGTTTGTGTTTAATTTAAAATTGCGTATTAAATATTGAGTATGGAAGGTAGTAGCAATATAAATTTACATTTAACGAAAGATCAAGTGATTAGAATAATTTCCCTCATTAAAGACAGAAGGAGTCAGAGATATGTGGCAAATTTAGTGGGTGTGGCAAATCAGTCGACAGTATCGCGAGTGGTAGTAAGGTACCGAGAGACTGGTCTTTATGAAAGACTAGCTGTAACAGGTCGACCAAGAGCAACTACGCATGTGAACAATAGATTTTTAGTCCTTCAGGCTTTGTGTCGAAAACATGTGACTGCCACTCAACTTCAACATAACTTAGCCGAGACTCGAAATGTTCGTGTATCTTCAGAAACTGTTAGGCACATCTTAAGATGGTTTGGAATTAGGGCCAGAGTAGCTGCCACTGTCCCGAGACTTACAAGGGAACACCGTATAGCACGTCTCACATTTGCAAGAGAGCACGTAAACTGGATTATCGACGACTGGGACAACAGACTCTTTGTTGATGAGTCAAGATTTTGTTTATACACTTCGAATCGTAGAATACCAGTTTATAGACGAGATTGCAAGCGTCGGAGGAGGACAAGGAGGAGGATCTATTATGCTCTGGGGCGGAATATCTCTTAGGGGTCAAACCGAATTGCTACAGCTATATGGAGAATCCTTAACTGCTGATATTAGAGAAATTTTGGAGATGCTTCATTTATTGGTAATGACTTTGTTTTAATGTATGACAATGCACGCCCACACGTCGCAAGAATCGTTACCGAGTGCCTTCAAGAGGTAAATTTACAAGTTTTGAATTGGCCAGCGCACAGCCCGGACTTAAATCCAATAGAACATGTTTGGGACCATCTTTACAGAAGGGTGAGATCTGGTAATGTGACGCCAGCTAATCTTCAGGACCTGTAACGGTTGTTGACTATAGAATGGGATAATATTGATCAAGATTATCTAAGAATATTAATTGGACGTATGCCACAGCTACTCTAGATGTTATAAGAGCTAGAGGAGGCCATACGCCTTACTAAATTATTACTTTTGATTTTATTTATTTTTTATTCAATGCTGTTTGTGCGCTTACTTCTAATTTATGAAATAAATTAAATAAAACCTTTGTTTTTCGTACATTCTGCATTTTTCTTTTAATACTTGTTACGTACTTAAAAAAAATGCATGTTTTAAATTATTTTTAATACAAAATTTGCAATTTCATAGGTGATGGGATACTTTTTTGGTGGAGTGTATTTAGACATACTTATAATACATAGAATTCTTCGTTTTGTATCTTACAACACGACTATAACTTACTTTGCTATAATCTAAAGTTTTAGTAGCTAAAAAACCTTATAAACAAATTATATGCCTTTGTGTAATAAAAAAAATATCCGTTTATAATAGTTATAACCTTGGTATATCTCGATTATAATTAAGGTTTATTTTAAAGCTAGTGGTTTTCTCTTTAATTTAAACTATTATAAAGTTTAAGCAAAAAGTAAAAATCCGAAGGATTCTACTACTTGAAACCAAAATAAAATTCAGATTCTCACCCAAAGCTGTGGTTTCTACGGTTTTCAAACCAAACAGACGATGAATAAAGCGACATGGGGAATCTAAAATTGTATTCTACGCCGTATCAGTTCATCTAAATGACCTTTTATGAACTGGCTTCTAGTACTCAAAATCGGAGTAAATAAAGATATAGAAAAGGCAGTGAAGATTTGATTTCACATATAGTGCTTTTACAATTCGCTTGTGCGAATTCCGTCTTTTTTAGGATTCACCAGAGCGTCTCATTAGGAAGCCCTAACTGTCTTTTCTATAATACAAAGTTATTTTACTCAAAATGCAGCTGAGTTACAAGTGAAAATCCCCTAAATGCCGTAATTTTGCACTAATTTTGCAATATTTTTAGTTCTAATTATTCCATCAAGGATTAACAAATATTATTTTTGTTAGTTTGCATATTATAAACAATTAAATTGTTTATAAGAAATTTCCAAAATACGTAAGAATGCACTCTGAAACTCCGTCATAGGCCACTGGCCTCTAAACTGGTAGGAAAATGAGAATATGTAGCTGCTGGAGCTACCTTTGTATATTACTTTTGTGTATTCATTATTCTGTTGAGATGTTGCTACTATGTGTTGCGTCGTAACCTTTTACGAAATCATTACTAATTGATGAGGGTCACTTTTAAATCTCCCATATTGTCATCTCAATTCTATATGACAATATAAATACCTCATTCAATTAGCTTGAAAGTCATAAGTCTCTTTTGGGAAAAGTCATCTTAAAAATGATTAATCGAAGCTCTTTATGTACAAATAGAATACATATTCGACATCTTTTACACCTCTTGAGCTTCGTCTCTTTGAGTTTTTTCAATATGTTTTTATTTTGAAAAGTGAACGAATGACATCCCAAACTGCACGTATCGGATAAGGAGATTTTTCAAAACTGTCTAATTCATCAAAACATATTTTTAAAGCCATGTGAGATGTATTCCAGGCACTTCCTTCGTTTCCTAAAAGGTTTCCTCAACTTCCACATTGAACCTTGGATCCATTAGGATTTATCAAAATGTTATTTGATCCGGCTCCTACAATACAAACTACACCACCTGTCTTTGATGTCGCAGCTACTGAAACTTCAGTATCAATAGCTACTACCACCTTTTCTGCTAAATTTGGATAGTCTGCTAGAAGTCCTTTTTTTAGTACATTATTAGTTTCTTCTTGTTCACAGCTGTTAAGACTTAAACCCAAGGCATCTAATTTGGTATCGGTATGTTAGCTTTACTTTTTGCAGCATCTACAAGTTGAGCTATCCTTTTTGAGCTTCTTTCATGCCTGCTAGATGATGGTTTGTTCCTGTTCCTGGAGCTTGTCCTAATATATTTCCTGAAGAATCAAGAATAATTGCATTGGAATGTGTTGCTCCCTCTTCTATGCCACCAATATTCCTAGACATATTAATTGAATAACTGAAAATTTCACTCAAAATTGATCAAAAATAAATTATTCCCTTTACACGTTTACAACTATATATTTTCAATATGATTTAGATTTTGAGCAAGTCGCTCCATTTTTGGAATATCAATTTCTTACATGTTATGAAATCTTGTTGTTTATCCCGTATAAGCAAAAAAAACCACTAACAAACACAGCATATGGCATTATGTGGTGTTTTAAAATCTCCCTTAGTTCTGTGCTTTCTGTTATTCTGTTAAACAGGACCAGATCTGTTGTTGAGCCAGCCCAAAAACAACATGAGTTCACTAAATATAAAAAAAGAAAAAAATATTGTGGGTGTCAATAGGAACACCAAGTGTATTTTCAGTGAGCTGCAACATGCAAGAGCTCCTCAGCTGGATTGTGTCAATCCTGTTTCTTTTAAGTTTCGACTAGAAGTAGAAGGGCTGACACTAGCCATTGAGATTGCTGAAACCCTCTTTGCAGTATTGTACTGGTCTACGTTCGTTCTCGAAATTTAATAGTGAGAATGTTGCCGTCCCTAGAGTTTTTTTTTTCTTTAACAAAGTTATCTAAAACCCAGTTTGAATTAGCCTCTCATCTTCGCTGATTCTACTGCTGTCTTCTAAATTTGCCAAACTGTACATTTTGGGTTGGTCGTTTTCTCACTTGGCTGCTCAGTGTATAATTAAAATCATCAAGTAGTCTACAGCTTATCTTTTATCTTAAAAACTATCTAAAATAATAGCTAACTGAGTTGTGAGTTATTGTGACTGTACAAACTAGTAAGTAAAATGGTCAAATTACTAGGGGTAGTCAAAATATGCTTCAAGAGGCTAAAAATGATTGATTTACTATCATAATTGATAATCTGCGTATCGAGATAGCTTTCAGAAGACAATCGGAGAAAATTAGTGAAGTAGGATTTTATTCTATTATAGATAACGGAAAATAGTGATTTGTTAACCAGGAAATAGCGTTTGAAAAGGTTTATTTTTACTAAAACAAAATAAAGAGTGTGCGTTTATGAGGAAGATCTAGAGCAAAAGGATCTACAGAGGATTGCACAGCAGCCACTTTATAAATGAGACCTCTAATCATTTTAGTTACCTGCGTTGCATGTGTCTGCTTTTCAAGTTATCACCGTTTTTTGTTTCCTGTTTGTACTATAAATCCACCAATGTGTTTGTTACATATAAAACAAGTGTTTCCATGTTTTTTCTAACACGCTTTTCATTTTAGCCACGCCTTGGGCCCAAACCGTTCACCCCTCCCAACCTCGCCGACACAGAGAACACCTTCTCGAAGGTATTCTCCGTGCCGGCCGTACCAGGCCAAACTACCACATCGATCAGTCAAGAAAAAGATAAATCACCCACGGTAGAGGAAGTAACGGAGAAAACTGAGGCAGTCAACGGAAAATCAGACGAAAATCACACCAAGTCAGATGTGGGTAACGGAAAATCTGCTTCAAGCGGGGAAGAAGAAGCGAGCAGCGATTCCGGGTATGTTCCGAGGACTCCGAGCACCGCTGAACGTCGGAAGTTGTTCGAAACTAAGCCCAATTCCAAGGAAAATGATCCTGAGGAGCTGGACTCTGTGGATTTCGAAAGGGGATCGTTGCAACGAGCTAGTATCGCAGAAAGGAGGAAAATGTATGAAAACAGGTAAAAAATTTTTAGATAAAAATCATTTGTTTTATTTATTCCAATGAACTGTAACACAAATAACTTTCCTCCAATATGTGTGGTATTCTACAGATGAATTATTTATAGGTCTATATCTGTACAAGAACAAGGTTTGGAGAAAAAAGAGAACTCGCCGGTGATGATGCGCCGGAAAGATTCTTTCAAGAATCGCAAAAACGCCGAGGATGTACTCAAAGACGATAACAACAGAAAGAGTATGCCTATTGCAAAACAGCAATCTCTGGATCCGGTCGGTGTTAGAAAATCGGAAGTATCGATGCCTACACCTAAAAGGACATCAACAGTTTTTGGTAAGTCACAGTATTTTTTTATTTTTAAATTAACGTGTCTGGATATCTTTGATCATTGACAAGGGAGCAAAGGTTTGAAATAGTACAGAGTTATGAGTATTTACATTACAGATACTTAAGCAGTTAAAGAATAACAGTATTATGTGAATTATATTTTGTTAATCAATTGTGTAGTTTTCAAGAAGTGTATTAGGCTCTTGAATCGGCTTGAAGAGTTCGGAAGATCTTTTAAACTGGTTTATATTGTTGGCAGTGCCGGTACACCGAGTACACCGATTTAAATATCTGGGATATACAGTAAATGACAAGTGGGACCCAGAAGTAGAGATTAAGATCCGAATTGAAATAGCAAGATCCACATTCATCAAAATGAGAAAGCTCTTAAGCAACCGCAACCTAAGCATTAACCTCAGATGGCGCGCCACGAAATGCTACGTACTCTCTACGCTACTTTACGGCGTAGAAGGGTGGACGTTAACAGCAGCAACTATAAAGAAGTTAGCGGCTCTAGAAATGTGGCTGTATCGACGCATACTGAGAATACTTGGACAGACAGAGTGACCAACACAGAGGTATTAAGACGAATGGGTAAAGAGGTGGAATTGTTAACAACTGTTAAAAGGAGGAAAGCGTCATACCTGGGCCATGTGTTCCGTAATGAAAAGTACAGTCTGCTACAGCTTATCGTGGAAGGCAAGATTGAAAGTAGAAGAGGTTTGGGCAGAAGGAAGAAATCCTGGCTGAGAAACTTGAGAGAATGGTTTCAAATACCAAAAGCTGCGAACATAATTCATGCGGCACAAAAACAGAGAAACCTATCGTATGATGGTCGCCAACCTTCGGTAGAAGACGGCACATAAAGAAGAAGAAGTACCGGTAGCCTGATAGTGTCGTCATTTTGTGAGTATGTGCTTAAGGGTGATAGGAATATTCTTGCAGTGGAAGCATAACGGTTGGTCTGTAGATGACATAATATAATCGTGTGTCAAACGAGTCACAGTATTGTTAAATGAAAAAATTTCAAAAGATAATTTAGATTCAACACAGACAGGGCGGCGTGCGCCACATCGGCGTTGAAAGCGGTCTCTCGTCTATGATACTTACGTTGTGCAACACAGACGAGCCGTCGTTAGTCAGCTCGCCGCGTCGGCCGCCGCGCGGCCTATGCTGAGTACCATGCGCCGTCGGCGGTTTTATGACTTCTGGCGGCACGTCAGTAATAGATATCTCGTGCTTCAACACAGACGTGTGACTGTTTTGCAACGGTTTACGTGATTACTTTTGTGAGTGGTTGCCAAATTTTGTATATATTGTGGAAGCTATAGACATCGATAAATTAATTACCGAAATTCACACACGGTCAGCAATTTGAAATATGCGCTCAGATAATTATTCGAATAAAATAAAAAAAAACATATTTGGGAAGAGGTTATCCACAGTTTTATTTCGGAAGATGTTTTTCTGGGCCATTTTTAATTTCGTTAACTAACGTGTAAAACGTTCCTTTATGTTTTCATTCATTTACTATAGGATGTATTCAATACCTGCGTTTCTTCTTATTCTTTGATTTAATATGAAGTAAACTTGCGCTTATTCGGAAAACAAATCGTCGTCACTTTCACTAGACGATTCTAGAGACATCATTATACCATTCTACGTCCAAAATTGGACTAAATTTGACAACACCGAATACAATGGCAAAACTACTGCCATTGTTAAGCCGCCTAATGTGTTTTAAGCCGCGCGACAGCGTCTGTGTTTAACCTTAGAATATTTATTCATTTTTATAGTTAATACATTATTTCCCAAAGAAAATCAGCCAAATATATTCATATATTCAAAAAGCATATTTCTGTATTAACATACTAATATTTAATTACGAAGCAATAGAATAGTGTGAATAAAATTGTGGTTCCGTGAGAGAAGGATATCTTAATGGTATCTGTACGCGAAATGGTCAAAGTGGTCTGTGAAGTTGTCCAGGACAGCATTTACAGCATGGTAATTATATCCTGGAAATATGTATTGGTACTTATACTTATTCTACTTACCCACCTCAGACGTCCTATCTTAATGTGTTTTACGATATCTGGTTCCTGGTATATTCTATAGAGTTCGAAGTTGTATCGTCTTCTCCAGACACCATTTTCATTTAACGCTCCATAGATTCGCCTTAGTATTTTTCTTTCGAAGCATCCTAACATGTTTTCATTGCTTTTTGTTACAGTCCAGGTTTCTGAACCATATGTTAGGACTTGGCGTAGTATTGTTTTGTAGAGTTTTACTTTTGTATGTCTTGATATAACTGTAGATTTAAAAAGGAGATTAAGCCCAAAATAGCATCTATTAGCCGTGCAAATTCTGCGGTAGTGTCATTTTCAGTATTGACGAGCATTCCCAGGTATACAAATTCGTTAACTGCTTCGATGACGTCGTTTTCTATAAACAAGTGGCCGTAGTATTTGTGGTTGCGTACCTACTTTCATGTATTTCGTTTTATTGGTGTTTATTATTAATACCATTTTTGTAGCCGCTTCCTTTAGTGCTACGTACGCCTCTCGTGCTGCGTTTTCCGTTCTCCCAACAATATTGATATCATCAGCATATGCTAGGATTTGCACAGATTTGTTATATATTGAACCGGTAGTTGTGATTTGTGACGTACGTATTACTTTTTCCACAGCTAGATTCAATAGTATACAGGAGAGTGGGTCTTCCTGACGTAGCCCGTTATTTGTTTTAAAAGGTTCAGAAAGTTCCCCCTGGATTCGTACTCTGCATTCAGTTTTTTCAAGGGTTAGTTTGGTTAGACTTACCAACTGATTTGGTACTCCTAGGTCTATCATTGCTCTAAACAATTCTCTTCTATTTACAGAGTCTTAGGCTGCCTTGTAGTCTATAAATATGTGGTGCGTGTCTACACCATATTCCAGTGTTTTCTCTAGAATTTGTCTCAGGGTTGAAATCTGATGAATTGTTGATTTACCACCTTCTGAAACCAGCCTGGTATTGTTCTATTATTCGCTCTGCATATGGTGCCATACGATTGCATAGTATATTGGAGAATATTTTATACGCTGCATTTAGGAGCGTAATTCCTCGATAGTTAGAGCATTCAAAGATCTCCCTTTTTGTGTATGGTGCAAAGTATTCCAATAGTCCAATCACTGGGAAGGGACTTCTGTATCCATATTTCTTTTATAAGCTGCTGTAGCGCTATTATGATATCGTGGCCACGTTCTTTATATAATTCCGCTGGGAGATTATCTATTCCGGGCGATTTGTTTCTGGCTAGTTTGTTTACAGCCTCTTTAACTTCCAGGATCGTTGGTGGATCCTCCTCCCTCTCGTTTGCTCCGCTTACCACACAGCTTTCGTCTTCTGGGTTTTCTTCTTCTTCCTCTATATTAAGTATCTGGTTAAAATATTCCGTCCATCGATTTAGTACGTCTGTTCTTGTTGTTAATACGCCAACAAATAATCGCCATTGAAACTTCTACATTGTTTTGTGTTTGCCTTGAATTCTCTTCTGTTGATGTTAACTTTCTTATATAATGTTCTGAATTATTTCTCTCTGTTGAGGTTTTCTAGATATTGAAGTTCCTTTTTTAAGTGGTTTCGTTTCTTCATTCAGAGTATTTTCTTTTCTTCTCTTCTCTTTGTCTGGTAATTCTCTACACTTGTTCCAGTTCGGCGGGTAAGCATTTTTGCATAGGCTTCATTTTTTTTCTGTGTTGCGTATTTGCATTCATCGTCAAACCAGTGATTTTTTCGTCTACAAGTTTCTGTTCCTATTTCATCTTGTGCTGCTGGCTCAATATCTTCCTTTATCCTGTTCCAGTAGGAGTCTATATATCTCTGGTCTTCTTCGCTTAGACTTTGATTTCTTAACCTATTGGTAATATTTTCCCAGTACTATTTTGCAACAGTTGCATCTCTCAGCTTCTGTACATTCCAGTTCTTTCTATCTATTTTTTTTTCTTTGTTGGAATTTGAAATTCTAGTCCTTAGTGTTGAGATCACTAAACAGTGGTCTGAGTCTGTGTTTGCGCCTCTATAACTTCTGCAGTTCATTATGTCCGTTCCGGGTCTTGAATCTATTAAGATGTGATCAATCTGACTAGTTGTTCTTCCATCAGGGGAGGTCCAGGTTACCTTGTGTATATTCTTGTGTTCAAAATAGATGCTAGCGACGGTCATGTTCAGTGCTGCTGCTAAGTTTATCAGTCATAATCCATTATCGCTACTGATGTTGTATAGGCTATGCCTACCTATAGTCGGCATAAAAACTCGCTCTCGTCCTATTCTTGCATTCATGTCACCTAGCACCCTAGCACTATCTTGATGTCATTTCTGAGGCATCTTCTGTAGGCTTGTTCTAGGTATTCGAAAAACTGTTCTTTATGTCTTCTAGTTTGTCGTCGGTCGAGGCATGTGCATTGGCTTAAAAAATATATTATACTTAAAAAATAAAAATTCTCCTGTACGCTCTTGCGTGAAAGTCAAATCTTTAATACTACATTAGTCCAGGAGCTTTACGCCTTGTTTTATGCTCTTTGCTTTTTTAACTTCCTTGCTTCTGAAATTTTCTACTAATATTTCTAGCTGATTTTCCTGTTCTATTTACCATTTTGTGCATATTTGTTTCTCATGTCTCATTGCTTGTGATCTTTCACAATCAGTGGGAATGACAATAAAGATCAAATTCAAAATTAGGAGGACAAGTGTTATCAAGACGAACGAGGTGTAATGAATGTTACAGGTTTTACTGTATGGTGTGATAGTGTAGACTATGATAGAACAACTACTGAAAAAGCTATCTACCTTTAAAATGTGGTTATATCGACGAATTCTTGAACATCCTGGACGGATCATATTACTAATATTGCGAAGAATATTCAAGCAACAGTAACCTACGTTTACAGCGAAAAAAAAAGCTGGAATATTTTCATCATCTGATATTCATATGGGTAATAAATAAAAATGACGCATCCAAAATAAAAGCAATGGAAATGAATTATTGGAGAAGATGTTGCCAACTCACTAGAAGAGAGAGAGTAAGGAATACTGAAATCAGAGAGCGTATGGGCATAGACATTGACATCCTGGTAGAATGCAAAAGGCTGAAATGGTATGGACATGTAGAAAGGATGAATGATCAACGATGGCCAAAGAGAATGTTACAGTGGATCCCCACTAACCGCAGGAAAAAGGGAAGACCAAGAAGATCGTGGAGACAAGAAGTAAAAGGTGCAATGGAAGATAGGGGTCTACAAGTAGATGACTGGAACGATCGCAAGCGTTGGAAGCTAGGTTGCGAGAAACGGCGACAGCTGTACTAAACTCGTTATATATATATATATATATATATATATATATATATATATATATATTTATATATATATATATATATATATATATATATATATATATATATATATATATATATATATATATATATATATATATATATGTATATGTATATGATATTCATATGAAAACTTAAATTCAGCAATGTGTTCTTCAATGAAAGGTGGATGGCAAAATGGTCCAGTGTGAAGAAACTTGTGGATTCTGAACCTATGCAAGTGGTTTGGCCTGATTCTGCAGAGCGATAAATGCGATCCCTCCGAATTTATTTTAAAACTAAAAATTCTAATAAAATGCCATTAAACAGTCTTTCATCGATCAACACTTCGACCATTTTATCCAATTTTCCGTAAGCTTGTCTAGTACTGTCCCCTTAAATACCAAAGACGTTTTAAAAAGTAACATAAATATTTAAAAGGTGCCGGCAGTTAGTTTTTGAACCTTTTTTTACTTGCAGGTCGTGTATCTAAGTTCAGGCATTTAAAAGGAACTCCTCTACATAAGTCTTTCCACATAGAAAATATTAGAAACCTCAGCAGGCAGATTCCAGGGGAATGTGATGGATTTCAAGGTAAGTTTATGTTTAATTCTATTAATAATAATATTACTGGTTTATGGGTATGGGTTTTCATTACATCCTGGGTATCTATGGTTAAATATTTTTATTGTTATCTAAACTTTGCCTTACTTTTCGGTTTAGCAAATCCCGAAAGAGTCGCAGTGCCTCTGAGCGGTCCTGGCGGAAAAATCGCAATATTTGAACTGAGTAAAACGGGCAAACTACCGGACGGCGTAATCCCTGCCTTGGTACACGGTAATAGCGTCATGGACTTCACTTGGGATCCGTTCGATACGAAACGACTGGCAGTGGCGTGCGATGATGGGGTCGTGAAATTATGGAGGATACCGGATAACGGTCTCACGGAGCAAACTAACGAGGCGGAGGCAGAATTTTGTGCTCACTCCGACAAGATTTATTTCATTAAGTTTCATCCCACTGCTAAGGACGTTTTAGCTTCAGGTAAGCATAGTTTAATCACTATATTTTAAAGGTTTCGTACTAATAAGCTTTTATTAAAAGACACGTATCTAATATCGTATCAGAAGAATGTTTTTCAAAATATCATTTCCCTTCCACAAATTTAATAAACTTCTGAAAGTTAGATAAAAATTACAGAGAGAGGGGGGCAAACCTGGCAAATATGACAGGTCTTCAACAATCCATACAAGAATAAGACATTTTTTTTATTTGTGAGAACTTTTCACCTCAATGTGATGGGTTAAACAATATTTTACATTTTTCTAGGTTCGTATGATATGACAATAAAACTATGGGACCTAAGTACATTGACGGAAAAAATCGTCCTCAAAGGCCACTCCGATCAGATTTTTAGCTTCGCTTGGTCTCCTTGTGGCTCATTTTGCGCCACAGTGAGCAAAGACAGCAAAATCCGCATATATAAGCCTCGTAGCAATGACAATCCCATTAGAGAAGGAAAAGGTCCCGAAGGAAATCGCGGAGCGAGAATCACGTGGGCTTTGGATGGGCATTTCATCGTCGCTACTGGTTTTGATAAGGTTTCCGAAAGACAGATTACTGCCTATAAGGCAAATGATTTGTCTAATCCGTTGAATACAGTCGGTTTGGATGTATCTCCTGCGATTCTGATTCCCTTTTACGATGATGACAGTTCAACGTTATTTGTTACAGGAAAGGTAAGTTTTTAAATACATTTTTGTTAGTCTTCGTCCCAAATTGGAATTATAAATAAATTAGAGATAGTTAGAGGTAGCTATACTTGATTACATCAGATTCTTATGCTTAGAAGAGATATAGCAGATTCTGAACACCAAGATATTCTTATTTATATGTTTCTTACATTAATTTATATGCTTATTATTTTAGGGCGATTCAACAATATACGCCTTCGAAATAACAGAAGAACACCCCTTCATATGTCCCTTGAGCCACCACCGGTGTACTACCCTACACCAAGGTCTTTCTTTTCTCCCTAAAAACGTCTGTGATGTATCGAATGTTGAGTTCGCCAAAGCTCTGAGGCTCACCAACAACTCGATTGAGCCTCTATCTTTTACTGTACCTAGAATAAAGGTATGTGTATCCAAATATGTATTTAATTTAATTAAAACGTACAAAAAATCGAAATATATCTTGATTTATTTTATCATAACATTTCATTGATCAGCTGTTAAATTTTGTGTTGCTGCTACAGTACAGCGTTGTCTTCTCTTTAGAATAGTATTTGGGGAAAATTATGACCCATTTGGGTATTAGACGAAATGTGTGACAGATGTCTTGATGATAATCTGATAACACTCATGTTTCTGATTTCATCACAGACTTATACCGGAATATAGTAGTAATAGTAGGTTTATTATTGATGACGTTTAATAAGAATTGATTCATCAAGTATGTAATAACCACTTATAAAATAATACTTCTACTTTTCCTTTAACGTGCTATATTTGTAGACCGATCTATTTCAAGATGATCTCTTCCCGCCAACCAGACTGACATGGAATCCAACAATGTCCAGTTCGGAATGGTTCAGCGGCAAAGAAAAACCTCCGCAGAAGATCAGTTTGCAACCTGAAGGAATGGAATTATGTAAGTTTGAATATTTTACTTTATATAAATTTGATCATCGTTCAAATAATAATACTGTGTTGTCTTTTATTATTTTAAAAGCAATAACATTTACATAAGGTACATTAGTACCTTAGAAAATTTCAAATTTTGTATAGTATGTTTACAACTGGTCCTTTTTTGTGCATTTGATTTATAAATTTTTCCAAGACTGATATTTTTTACATTAGTTTTCGATTTTTAGAGTTAAGTATGCCTTTACAATGCTGACATTTGTGCAAAAATCCAGGAAACGAACTGTAGGCGTTTTCATTTTGTGAACCTTTCCAAAATCCTGCATATTATAAGTTTGCGTTATCAACCGCATAATTTTTTCTAATAATAACTTTTCTATAAAGTAAATTAGTGATTAGACAAACTATATATTTCACAAAATGGCGCCTGATACCCAACTTAAATAAAACTGAGGTAAGCTGTTTTCACCTCAATAACAAACAGGCAAAACAAAAATTAGAGGTCAAAATGAGAAATGTAGCACTACCCTACCAATCCTACCCGAAATATCTGGGGGTTACCTTGGGCAGGACTCTCTCGTTTAAAAAAAACATCTACAAATAACTGCACAAAAAATAGTAGAAATAACCTTATCCAGAATATTTGTGGTACCAACTGGGGCGCATCTGCGGACACACTACGAACATCTGTGCTAAGTTTGGTTTATTCTGTGGCAGAGTACTGTGCACCGGTCTGGCTAAATAGTCGTGATGTGAAAATAGTTGATACGCAGCTTAATATAACAATGAGAATGATTAGCGGCTGTATCAAGACTACTCCACTATATTAGCCCTCGATCCTTAGCCGTATTCCTCCGCCTATTCTACGAAGGCAAAAGGCCTTGATAACGGAGTATTCGAAAGTAAATAGCAACTTGCAACGAACAATCCATGAAGACATCGAGTTTAGCAGCAAACCGACTCCCATCCAGGAAACCATCCATAAGAACAGCCCAGCAGCTAACAGCAGATGATTTCAATGTTACCTCCAGATGGCGCACGCTGTGGACTGAGGAAGCCCCACCTGAAGTGTCCAACCTTATTGACCCAGTACAAAAGCCTGGCTTCGACCAGCCACGAAACATATGGAAGAGCCTAAACCGAATTAGAACGGGACATGCAGTATGCGCATACAACCTACATAAATGGGGAAAACAACCTACCTCCAGCTGCGACTGTGGAGCTTTAGGTTAAACCATCCAACACATAGTGGAGACATGTGAATTGAGGGCATATCGAGGGGACCCAAAAGACTTTTTCAAAACTACGCCTGCAAGCCTTGAATGGATAGCCCAACTTGACTTAAAGATATAACCTTATCTGTTTGTATTATATTATGTTTTATCTGTATTTTCTCTATGTTCGTTTTTATAATCTTATGTTTGTATTGTTGAATTATGTACTTACGTTTTTCACAATTATTACTGTATTTACTCCATGTATTGAGCCATACGCTAAATAAATAAAATAAGTGACACTTCCAGTTAGTGTACCGTTCATAAACTCGTATAAATGACACAACCATGTTGCCGTTTTTTTTAATATTTTCATAAAGGTTTGTTAGACGTTCTCAGTGCAAGAATAGCTTGAACATATACAAACGACAACCGTACTACCGATTTCACAAGTTTTCCTTAGTCTATAACATTTATGTAAAGTAAATTTGTACTTCTTTACGCTCAGTTTACAAAGCATTCCGAAATTGTTTCAAAATACGTCTTCGTTGTTGCCGATACCACATATCTTCCCTAATAATAATTAAAGGTTACGCATTTTTTAGTATCAGAATCCCAAGGACAACCGAATAGTGCGACTGAGAGAACAATAAACAAATCTGCCTCTAGTCCTTTCATTGGAATCAATCACGGAAGGGTTGGATGGGATGTCGATTCCAGCGATGTGAAGAATAAACAAGATGAAGTAAGTAAAAAAAATCTAAAAGTCTGCTTTGAATGTAGCACCTAAATTTATTAATATTATTATTATTCGATACCTATAATTTGTATATAATAGAATATGCCAAGAAGCCTAACAAAAAACTCTTCCTGTGTACATTATTTTGTCTCATTAATATTTTACACGTGATTTAATTATTGCTTGGGGGTTTTATAAACAAAACGGTTCGTTGGCACAACGCACATAAACAACCAATCGCGTCTCGGTCCATACGCAGAAAAGGAAAAACATTGATTAAATCAAAATTTTCGTCAACCGTCCATTTATGATCAATTTTAACACCCTCAAAATCATTATTAACGACTCCTATTAATGAATGATTTTCTATTAATGGACGATGTCATTATAGGCAACACAACATACATTGCTTGCATAAATTAATTAAACGCTCTGTGATTATGGTGACCTGGCAGTGACCTATGGTGTAGGCAACCAAACATAAACCTATTTATATTCCCACTAAAAAATTTAAAATGAAGTAGCCGCTGTTAGTACTATCTGTCATTGTATGTTAATATTTACTTTATTGTTTCTGTGTATTTAAAAAATCAAAAGATGGATATTGACGAAGAGTTTAATTTAACTCCACCAGAGGTGGCAGAAACTGCAAATGAAATATCTTTAAGTTTACTGCCTGAAAAAGCAGAGTATTGTACGAAAAAACATACGTTGAATTTATTACATGGTGTGACGAGAGAAATAATACGATATTTAGAATCTGTATTGTTGACATATTTTTCAAACATTGTCGAAAAAGGACAATAGCAAGTTTGTGGCCCAAATATTCGATGTTAAAATCAACCTTAATTTTAAAATAAAACTTTGATATATCTAAATATAAGTTAATTATGTTTATCAAGAAAAAAACGAACAGGTTATGTACCAAAGAAATCAAAAACACTTTAAAAAGAACAAGTCGAGAAATTCATCTCTGATGCTCCTAACGACGTATTTCTAATGATAAAAATAAACCAGTAAATTAAGTTATATTAAATATTATATGTTATATTAAATATTTAAAACTCGCATTTCATAACATTTCATTTTGTAGGTTGCATTGATTTTTGGAGTGACTGGTGTGTTAAGAAAGGACGAACTATTGAAATTATTAGAAACAAATAACGTTCAAGACTTGAGGTCAAAGTTTCTTGTCACAATAAAAGAAATCAAAAACACACACAAATAGAATATTTACCATAGTAGATAACGAAACAAATACTATTCTTAATGCGATCAAAAACTATATTTCTTTAAGACCAACACACACATAATATAAACGGTTTTTCATTTTTTATAAAAATAACAAATGTTCCACACAGCCAGTTGGCATAAATACGTTTTCCAAAATTCCTTATTGCTAAATTCTTAAAATTAGAGCACCCGCATCTCTACACTGGGTATTGTTTTAGACGTTCCTCTGCCTCAATACTTCGTGACAGTGGTGCAGACTTTTCAGCTATTAAAAGACTAGGTGGCTGTAAATCGACTGCTGTAGCAGAATTATATAGATAATTCTATGCAGAATAAACTTGAGACGGCTGAAAAACTCGTGAATTAAAATGGCGATTAACAATCTCGAACATTAACGCGTGAGCGGAGCGAGCGCGTTAAAATATGTCAATTGTTAATCGCCCTTATTAATACACTTGTTGGTTAAATAACTATTAACCTATTTTGTTTTGTAGATTAAGAGATCAGTCAGCAATAAACTTCAAGTTAACAAGACGCTAGAACAAGACGCCATGGAAGGCGTGGACGAAAAAGAGTGGCTGGAATAAATCCACATAACTTAGGTAAAAATTAGGTACATTATTCATAACCGAATAACAAAAAAATATACAGGACGCTTTTTTTGTATTTAACAAATTTATTTTTTATATGTTTGTACTCAAAAGATGGATCTAGTTTTCCTGGTATTGCATGGAGTCATAAAGAGGGATGGAGTCGTCAGTTTTTGGATATAATCTTCTATGCTGAAAGTTAAAAGTAGCATATAGAACTAGAAATTTGTTCTAATCACGATTTTAATGTTGCAATTTTAAATTAAACCCTTTATAAAAGAATCGCTCCATCTATGAGGCTTTATGCAAAGCTCCAAATGCAGTATCCACAGTTTTTGAACGAAACTGCTTCATAATTTGTAGATAGGTACGATTTTTAATGGTTAAGATACTGAGCTTTTGTTATGCTTATTTTTGGTGAAAGGACGGAATAGTAGATAATAATGTCGTACTTTTCGTGAAGCTTGCTTGCTGTTTAAAAAAGTATCCAAGATATGGATACCGGAAAAAAGACAAATGTGTTTCTGAAAGAAACGTAATATTTTGTTTATTGGTTGATTATGAGTTTGAAAGTGTTTACATTTCTTTTGGAACTTTGGAATTTTATGGTTTAGTGTAGTTTTTGTGAAATTTTTGAGGTGATGTTAATAAATGGTACTAAATGGGCGGGAAAATTTATCATTTACGAAGGGTGATCAAAAAGTTCCACGACTAATTGTGTAAAAATTTTATTTAAAAATATTGTAAATAATTAATGATCCTCTTCAAAGTACTCCCTTTGGCAACGTGGACACTTCTTCAAAGAATGTTTCCACAGCTGGTAGGACCCTGCAAAGTGTTCTTGTAATATGCTGCTTAGCTCCTGCAGTGATTTTTCTGTAGGTTTCAATCATGTCACACGTGTGCCCTTTCATAGATCTCTTGGAAAACAAGACAAGTCTGCACGGGAGGGGGACTGAGGGATGGCAGTAATACCGTCTTTTTAGCGGTTTTCAAAGCAGAATGAACTACTTGATCTACAGACTTTCTTTGCACAGTCTTACAATAATAACTCAACAGTCGAAATCAGCAAAAAAGAGTAATTGTTTCACCTCGTTGGGATAATTCCCAGTACACCACACACTTACAATTAAAAATAAATAATAAACATGACACGAACGGTTTTTCCCTTCTTCTTTTTTAGGTGTTGTAGAAATTCTGGATTTCCATCGATATGATTGATTCTTTGCTTCCCCATCGTAAACATAAAACCATGCAAATGGTATGGTCCATACTGATTATGCGCTTCAAAAATTTTTCATTGCGATTTGCCATTTCAAGAACTTCTTAACAAATCTGAATTCCTGCGGTTTGTGGTGTGCCTCCGAACAAATCTTGCCGTCAAGAATGTTGAGACGACGGTTTGGCCGTACGAGACTTCGTTCTTACGTGCCCTTTTTCACTCGCAGTTGACGGTCGTCCTGAACTTGATTGCTGATGGCCTCAGGTCTTCTCTAAACCTCCTGAACCACTAGCTTGCGTTGTCACAGTAAACAATACAACCAACCGCACTTCTCTTTGTTGAAATCTTTTTACATAAATCAAAAAGTCTTGGAACTTGATGATCACTCCTCGTATGTCATTTAAGAAATTTTTGGGTATAGTGTATCTATTGCCAATTGAGATAGCAAAATAGCTTAAAGCTGGCAACGCTTATAATTATGTGGCACATCTGATGGAGTTGGCAGTTTTTCTTTTATTAGATTTATAAAAAATTAAAGAAAATGTGCATTATCTTGACATGTTAAAACCTTTGAGCACCAGACATATTTTATGTATGTTGCTATTAGAATTATGACAATTCTGAAGATTTATTTGGCGGAAAATAACCTATACTGTAATATTAATAAATATTATGAAATAATAAATATGTTTATGAGGTAACAAGTATCAGCTATAAGAGATTTGTTTAAGGTGTCAATAGATAAAAAGCTCTATTGCCACAGTTAATTTTTCTGTAAAAAATAAACTTTTCACAGTCGGCTTTTTACGGATAAATAAACGCAGCTCGCTTTAACGGTATTAAACGGATTTAATGGAACAGTAGTGCACATAAGCTTGTCCCAATACCGATACAAAGGTTAGTTGCCCATCTCCATCCATGCAGGAACATCCCTCAGTTTCATGAAAATCGTAAATTATTTATCGAATTTCATGAGCATCGCCTTCTAATTCATTCATTCGTGATTGTTATGATCTCAGGCATTTCTTCTGTAAAAAGAATAGAAAACTTAACTCCACGGCTTATTTCTAATAAAATTTGACATTATTTACTTATTGTTTCAATAGAACTGATAGAAACACCTGAAACAAAAATATTGGAGCTTTTTGGTATTAAAATAATGAATATATTGTTAGAAATCAGTGCCAGTTTGGTTTTTAAATAGAAATCTAAATTAGCAGTGAAGTTGAAAGGCCATAATAACGAGCGTTGCAATACGGACAGAGTCGAGAAAGGACGTTGTGAAAGTGAGCAACTTTACAGATATGTAGCGTTGTTGTTTCGTAGAATAAAGTTTCTCTCACTTTAAGATCTTTCACATAATTCGAAGTAGACGACAATATTACAGTGAGTGATCAAATTATTAGAGCCACCCCATACAGTTTTACTTTTTGTTTAATAAAGGAATGTATTTAAGCTATAAAACATATTTTGTGTTTAATTCTATTTTACTGTGTAAAATAGAAAATATTAAATAAAACCTTATAAAGTTACAGATATTAAAAAAGAAACCAGTAATTACATAAAAACACTTAAAGTTAAGCCTTAAGGCTAATACTTGTTAGTGTCACCCTTTGTAGCAATGGCTGCCTGGCACCCACTTGGCATACTGTCTATGCATTTCTGGCAATGTTGGTAAATTGTTCCCCACTTGTGCTTACTGCATTAAGCGCTAGATCAATTTACGCTTTGTGGTTATAATTTTATTAGAAATTATTTTCTCCATGAGCTTCCAAAGATTTTCTATGAGATTCAGATCTGGCGAATTGTCAGGATAGTCGAACACTCTTATCTGATTGTCAGCAAGGAATTATAAATTATGAAGTTTATCATGAAACGTGAAACTCCTATTAGGGAACCCTCAAGTGCTGGTCCTACCACATTGTTCCTTCGAAAATGTAGAGTGTTCCTTGACTGCTTATGATAGACTACACCATGATTCTCAGGGAGTGCTTTACCGTCCTTACAATACAATTCGCTTTACATTTTTCCCCAGATCTTCTCCTAGCAAATTCAGCTTTATCCATGAGGATCTGCGCGGTAGATTCGTCCGAAAAAGAAAACTTGGAATATTATTATTTTAGAATCGTGGACAAATTGATCAACTGTATACTACATTAAATAAAAAACAATGTTAAGTAATGTATTTATCTGATTCCAATCATCAATAGTCCAATCTCTACGATCTTTAACCCATTAAAGCCTTTTTTCTTCATGGATGGTGTAAGGTGGGTTGAAAACCCCAGATCCTTCATTCGCCGACGAGCTGTCATTGGTGACATGAATTTTTCTTTCATCTCGTGGTGTTGTAATTTTTTTCGACCACATTTTTGTTTGCGCCATGGGATCAAATCCAAATTTAGAAAGAAACAAACAAACTTTAGAAATTGATGCTATTTTTCTGTTGAAGTGATTAGTGTTCAATGATAAAGTATTTATTCCCGTTATTTTCCTTGACGAGATGTCTTTGGCTTTTCCCATGATGTTCTGGTACCACTGGTGTAACGAACATGCAGTGTTTGCTAAATTCAACAAAGTACTATACGACTGTCAGAATATCACTACAGAGCAATGGGAACTATTTATTACAACTGTGCACACAAGAATACAAAATAATATGCACACAACCCCCTCTGTGGCTCAGTGGTAAGAGCGCCTGCCTTTAAACCTAAAGGTCGTGAGTTCGAATCCCACCTGGGTGGAAATTTTCGTTTATTAAAAAAATTAATAAATGAAAATAATATCTATCCTTGTGTGATCGGTACACACCGGAGGGACCGCAGACGTTCGGATACAATTAGCGTCTCTTAGCAAAGACAATGACGTCGACTTTGCTAAGTATCAAGACAATTACTCTACACACACACACACACACACACACTACACCTCAAATTGTAAGATTGGCGAATGGATTTAGTGTCCGCAGTCATTTAAACACAAACAAACAAAACAAATAATATGCACACCAGTTGCAAGATAGGCTGGACAGCACTGACAAACAATGGCACCCGAGTCACGTATTGCAACGTCCGCTGTGTTACCACTATTGCCAGACTATTTACACTACTTTCATAAAGTGTTTAAAGATAATTAAATGGAAACAAACGCATTAATATATTATACAGCTCAATTACAGACCTTTTTGTAAAAAAATTGAATTTTACCAAGTGGCTCTAATAATTGATCACCCACTGTACATACTACTACTACATATACTCATTATTTTACTTACATTTTCCTTACGTCTCTGTATACAAATGAAAAAGTTATCAATTCACTTGTTTGAAATTTTTTATCTTTTTTCTCCGCACCTACTTCATTGAATGAATTTCGAGTTTCCAATCATCGCGTGGGTGGTCGTAAGCGAAAATACTTCCTTTCGCATACCTCGTTATAATTGGTGTTTGCTGTGCACAAATTTCTGGCAAGCTGCTATAAAATGTGAAGTTTTGTCAATTTAACATGTAGGCTCATTCCATTCTTAAAAGAAATAACTTCAAACAAGAATGAAAGGATCTGAAATATTTTACACTTAAATAATTTTCCAAACAATTGTTTCAATCAATATTTTTGCTGGTTCTATTAGCAATAGATAAACTATACAATTTTTAAAATTGTTGTGAGAAATAAATCCACGATCGGCTTATTTTAATTATGGTGTAAACATTTTCAAACACTCATAAAATCGTATAGTTAAGTCTATATATTACAAATATTAACTTAAAAATATATATGTATAGAAATATAACATTCTCCAAATAAGTCCAAAAAGCAACATTAAAAATTGCTCAAATTAGATCAAAATACTTCTCTTCCAAACTAAATCCCCATATAAACATGTGTATATGAATTAATTTGTTACTTTGTGTAGTAAATGGTAGAGTCTAACAAAAGTTGTGTGAGAAATAATACCTTCTAAACACTGCGTCGACCATAAGAATTCTTATTAATATTATGTATGACACATTAGGCGAGATACCAGGATGCCATTATTTCGTGCGTTGGTAGTCATGGAAAAGCAAGTTTTACTTGGTACATAATTTATATTTCTTTAAAAGAATTATTCTCGATCAGTATCTCCTTGAATATATCCTTTTTCGTTCATTTCAATGCTAAGATATGGTACGAATTGTATTGGACTTTGTTGTCCTTTTAGCTAGCAGAGCCGTGGATTGGTTGTATGATTTGAACATATATAAGAGTATTTAGATCAGATTGCAGGTTCCTAAGTATTTATGAGGCATGGCCTGCAAGTCTATTGAGCACCACAATTAACTGTGCCTTGTCGAATGAAAAGCTGGTGACCGAACGATCGTGCTTTGTCTTGGTCTCTTTAACAAAATCCAACAGCATCACATAAAGCACTCAGTCGGAAAAGCCCCTGCTCATCAGCATCCTTTAGACCCGGCTGAAGACCAGGTCGTTAACCTTAGAGCTAAGAGCTCTTTCTTGCACTCATCCAAGTACGTTCACCTCTAGCAGCTGCCCTAACACTTTACTAATATACTCAGATGTCTGTTATATGACTTACACTCAACTTATACATGATCCAGTGATGAATACATATACATACGCCGAACCCATAATAAACTCAGCTTACAGCACCAGTCTCAGTGCCCTTTAAAACACTTCGCAGTGATATGTCAGATTTTGGACTTCATTGCAGTATTCAATACCTGACGCATCTTCAATGCAGAGTTTTTTAAATTATCGTCTCAAATATTTTCGTCGCATCTTAGAAGTCTCATGATAATTTACTTTTCAAGTTACTGTTGGTGTATTTCTATGGTGTTTTACTTTGAAATTGTTACGGATAAGTGCCAAAGAAGTAGCAACTCCATGTTATTCACGTGTAACAGTTCCACCAACGTTCGTAAGCCCAACAGATGACCATCAGATGTCATGACCAACGGTAATTTATACCTAAAAAGCATCAATTTTAGAAGTCCTTGAAACTTTTTTTGGAAATATACAAAAGACGTACAAGTTTTGATGACATCGCAACTGAAAAAGTTTTATTTTCACATCTCAATGCAGCATTTTGAAGTCTCACACAATTTTTGTACTGGTATAGACGTTGTAGTGCCATTTTTAATCGTAAAAACATTGGCTGTTGAACGGAACCATATCTGTCTACCTTGAAAAGGTGTCGAAAATGTTTTCGTAAAACAAAAACTTAATTTATTCGACGGACGTTGTTGTTATGTTTTCGAATAGGTTGGTATCACTGCTCGCATCACTGTACTCCGTTTTGATATTGATTGAGTTAGAAATAGGAGGTGCCGCGGTTGGACAAAACTGTAGGGAAGAAGTAAAAGTAAAGTGACACTTAAAAGTGCCAGAGAAATTGTAGATAGATCACTGTACAAAAAAAAATGTCGTTTCTTATGACAAAATCGCCGGAAATTATGCGTAAAAGTGTAACAACTAAGTATCTTGCTCATAATCAATATGTCTATGTGGACATAAAATAGCAAAAGTATCAAGAAAATGTAAGGTGTTTTAATGTCAAAACGTTAAAAGAAAAATTATATCAAAGAATGGCGACAAATTATTGGACATAATTTATGTTATGGACGAAATTATCAAGATGGAGACACACAACAAATAGGCAATAAAATAATGATTTAAAAAGAAAATTAAGAATAGCCTAGGGTATAATTATACGAGAGATAGTATATTTAATGGATATAAACCAAAAGGAAATAAATTTAGGTAAAGTTGCAGGTGAAATCAGAAGGTTTTGTTACAATACGAAAAATAATATTTCAAAGAAAGAGCGATAGAAATAACCTCAAAGAAAGTAATAAAATCAAGAAAACTGGGGAAGCCCAGATTATAA